TCAGCTGTGCTTCTCTGGCTGACTCATGGCTCGCCTCAGGTGATCCATCAGAGGTTCAGGCCGTGACTCAGCAGTTCCCATACAACCACCATCAAAGAAATCTAAAATGACTTTGGGAAAAAGTACAGCGCTGCTCCTGTCCCTTGCTGTTTTCCCAAGCTGTAAGACTATGGGTTCAAAAGCTCAATTCATATCTTCAAAGCTCTCAGTGGGTCAGATAGAACTGATCAAAACAGAAAAGCAGTAAATCTTTGGCTGCAGTTAGTTATTTCTGTCCATGCAATGGAGCTTTGGAGCTTTCTGCCATACAGACGGCTCGGCACTCGGCTTCACGGCTGGGTTTGTCCAAAGGGACACAGCCATGTCCAGCACTGCATGCTGAGCTCCAGCAGAGCCTTTCTGTCCAGTTCATGGGACATTTCTACTTGTTGCTGAAAGATATGCACGCACCAAAGGACTGACCTTAGGAATTCTACGCTTCTACAGTACTAAATCTGATAGGTGCTCAGCTCCACCAGAAATCAATGAGAATTGATCAGGCATCTCAGCCTACGCAGAGATGTCTGAAAGTCCCATTAGGTGTCCATCTGCATGCCTAGATCCCAACACCGGTTGCTAGCTTGAAAAATTATTTATTTTCACATTATTTATGAGCAACAGTGTGTTCATCAACCGCTCCTAGCAGGGCTTGTTGTTAGCACAATGGACAAAACTCATATTTCTGCTGCCTGTGATGAGTCACCGCTCTGACCCAGAGCTGTGTGCCAGGTTTCAGATGTGCACTGAACTGTACAATTATTATATTTTTTGTATTTTGGTTTTGCACTTTGAAAAAGAGCCCATGCTGCCTTAGGTGCTGGATGTTTTACGGACATCCACCAAGGGAGGTCTGTGCCCCAGAGAACTTCTAAGTGCTCAGCTGGACAAATGGAGGAAGAAGCCAATAAAGGAAAAAAAGAAAAGAATCTTCCTTGGAGTGACACCAAAAGTCTGCAGAAGTGGAGGAGAGAGTGCACAGGGGTCCTATTCCCAATTTAGCACTTACTTGCTTTCTGAGAGTTTCTTGCTCTGTGAGTCATCCTCTAGCCACAAGACATCTTCTTAAGTAAGCAACAGGATTATAAAAATGTGTGCTTCTATATATACATGCAAACAAACTGAGGGCCAAGAAAAGGCATCATTAGCTATTCAGAGTGAACTCTAACCTTCCCTCGAGTGTTGCTATTGTGGCAACACAGTACAGGATGAGTAGTTGGTGGAGTTGTGGTTTGTTTGTTTGTTTTCATCTCCCAGAATGACGTATAATCTATCTTTTAACTGAGGAGAGGCTCTTCATGACCTGATGGCTTATCTGAAATGCATGCACACACTGATAATGGAGAAATTCCCAGCCTGGATAGCAGGCAAGGAGAAGAGAATGGCAGGGATGCCCATAACCGTGAAATCACAGCAATCTCATAAACAATTCTGGAGCCAGGCAGCACTCAGGGTGCCCCAGGGGTCCTCACTGGCTTGGTTGTGTGCTGCTGCTGAGTCGGCTAAAATGCTGCTTTCCTTGTGCTAGGGAGAAACAACCCCTGCTTCAGACCCTGAAGAGGATTAGCTAGTGATTCAGTACGGTGGATAAGGCTGTGAAGCAGTGAGTCCTGTAGCTGACCAGTGAGTGAATTCCTGAGCTGTAAGCCAGCAGTCAATGTGTATGGCCAAGGTCAAGCTGAGTCAACCCCTAAATCACAAGCAAGACATCTGAAGGATGTTCAGAAGTTTCCACCATCTACATGTGCTCTCAGGCTGGATGTGGCTGGTGAGCACTGGGATGAGCCAGGTTAGCTGTGCTCCCTGCTCAGCCTGGATCAGGCAGCTCATTAGCAGCCATGCCAAGAAAACACTACTGGATTCTGAGCAAAGCATCCCTGCAGGGTGTTGTTGCTGTTTCATATGACCTTGCCAGCAGCTTTATAATTTGCCAGTTTTCTCCCCCAGAAGACGAAATCACTCATTTGGCACACGCTGATACCCAGAGTGCAATTAATGGCTTCAGCCTCTGACATGGCCCTGTGCAGCCTGGGAGCACTGAGGAGAGATGTGTCAGAAGGGTCAGATGTTCATTTCACAGCCTTGGAGACAGCGGAGCACTGATACCTTTAATGGAAGCTGGCCTGCTCGTTAGCATCTGGGGAACTCATTAAAGTTTTATAAGTTCTTTTTTAAAGCTCTGGCTTCTCATAGTTGAAGGTCACTACAGCAGTGCTCTGTGGCAATTATACTAATCGGAAGCATTTTCCTCCTGCTACATTAATTAGCATGTGGAGAAATGTAAGAAACTGATGTAAACCTCAACGCAATAATAACTCCAATGTGCATGTTTTTTGTTTTAACCACGTATTTTGTTACCAGTCCACCATTTGTAGGTGTGCTTTGTTTTCCACAAGTTTCTCCAGAGATGCCAGCTATCTTCCAACTGTTCTGCATTAGATGAGAAAAGGAATGAAATGAACTAATCCATGAAAATCTGAAGGATTTCAGTGAAGTCTTCAGTGAAGAAGTTTGTGAACCTACAACAACCTTTTTGCATGGGTAAATGCCACTTTCTGGGTGGGCAGCTCAGAGGACTGCGATCTCCAAAGTATTGGCTGCTCTCCACGAGCTAAAAGGAAAGTCCATGGGGATTGTTTGATGAAGCAAACTTCTGTTTGCAGAACAGAACATGTGAGGCAGCATAGGGTTGTCCCAAACCTCCTCTTCTCATATCTGCTACTATTTGGATGCTGGGAGTGCTGAAGAAGTTTAACTTCTCTATATGCTGAAGAGGAGCCTTGGCACTGCTGCTGCTCAGAGCCCGTTCCCCATTCTGGGAAGACTTCTCTAGAGGACATCACCTATTTGCTGTGTTCACCCTTGAGATCTTCTCCAAGGGACACTGACTATTTGCTTGAGACCTCAACATCTTCACCTGAGCAAACAGAGTCACTCTGCAGAAAGCAGTGGTTCCTTCTTTCTTCCTCTGGTTCTTAAGCCACATTGACCTTGGTGCCCTGGAAGTACATCCTTCAATCTCCCTGCCCAGGCAGGTGGTGGAGTCACCAACCCTGGCGATGTCCAAGAGGCATCCGGATGAGGTGCTACAAGACGTGGTTTAGTAGCTTAGTGGGTAGTAATGGTGACAGGGGGATGGCTGGACTAGATGATCTTGTAGGCCCTTTCCAACTTTGTGATTCTGTGATTTCCCAGTGTACAGACATGGTCTCAGAGAATGGTTCCATGCCTCTTTCTTTTTCTCATCATCCAACAGAGTGCCCCCAGGCTTGCTGTGTCTTTCAAAATGGCAGATCTTCATTTTCTTCTTTTTTGGCATTTTGACCTTTGAAAACCACTCTGCTGTGATCTGGTGGCTAGCACAGTCCTTACGTGCTCCCGTGGAATGGCTTGTATCAGTGCTTAACGACCATCTGTTCCAGGTGCAGAGGGTTTTTACTGGTATCTCCTGGGGGCTGGAGCTCAGTCTGGAAGCAAAAGACGTCAGAGAAGGACACCATGTGCCATGCACTTCAAATGGCGTTTGCCATCTGACACAAATCTCCTCAGTATCAAACACAGTCCCTAAGCTGATAGCCTCGCATCCATGGAACCGCAGTGCAGCATTGCTGACTCCCAGAGGCCACAGTCAGGAGGACACAGGATGTCCTTTCCACTGCGAGCTGGAAAGGGGGGGTGAAAAGGCTGAAATAGCATCAGAAGAAGCAATTAGTCCAGATCCAAAGTAAGCTTACACTTGTTCTCACATGGCATTTAGCATGTGTATTATCTGCAACACTCAGCGCTGCAAGCTTTTTCCTGGAAGAGCTCTTAGGAATTCTGTTTCAAGTGCTTCAGTTCACGGATGCTCGTTTCCATAATAACTCAGTAAAACCAAGAAACCTTCTTTTCTTCCTGAACAATATGCTGTAAATCTGATGTAACTTTTCTGCTTTTGTTCATATACACAGACATACATTCACCCACCTGCAAACAGATGTGCAGGTACCGACGCATACACTGGTATGCAAAGACACACAAACAGTTTGTCACTCCATCATATCCGCAGCCATTTTCCTGGCACACTGAGAGTTCTCCTGCTGATCCAGAAGGCACATCTGAATCATCCCAAATCCACGCGTTGAGTGATTATTTTGTTGAAGGGAGATAGGAGAATGAAAGGTATTGCAGTATCAGGGAGAGAGTCTTGCCTAAAGCACATGAGACCTGATTCATCTTTGCACCCTTCCCAAGAGAAAGCAATGGAAGAAGCTTCTTTTGAAGACAGAGCATGAGCAAATTTCCAAGCTCCCCTGATGTGTACCTGAAAGAAATACAGCAGCTACAGCATGCTCATGTTCACTCCCTTGTTAACAGTAGTACAGCTTGAGAATAATTCAGGGAATGATGTTTAGAGATGGAGATGAAGCACCCTCACTGGGCAGCCATCCCACTGCTTGAAGGTGTCTCCATCTACGTGCTGATGTTAAATGCTTGGTGAGTATTTACTGTGAGTGAAAATAAGGCATCCTGGAAACAGCCCTGAGAAGATTGGTATGAGATTGGTACCCTAAGTAATTTAGCACTGATGCACTGCAGTGGTTTTACTGTAAGGTTGTGAAAGCTGAGGGGCTATTGATAGAGACATTATTTCACTTCTTCAGGTGCCAGACGTCTGGGTTTGGTCTGGACAATATGGATTTGGAGTTAGCTGTATTGATTACTGCACTCCTGCTAAAGTTTGGGCTGTTCAGCTCACAGAGTGTAAGACTTATTTCTTTAGCCACACCATGCAACTAGAAAGAAGCATGACTAAGAACATCTTGGTTCAGATCTGGCAATTCTTCAGTTGCAGTTCTGTCCCTGGACTCCCCAGATATTATCCTGAAACTGGATTTCTTTATCTTGGATACAAGAACAATCTCAAGTCTACAGTTAGTCAGGGCTCATTTTTTTTTTCCCAGATTAAAGAAAATGATGCCTGGTTTTATTGAAACCAACCCAGAGTAGTGTTTATTATTGAAAATATACAGTATTTCTGAACATCACATAAAAAGCCTAGTAGATACAACTGCTCTAGTTCAAAATGCTGAGTAGATAATCTTTGTGCAGCATAGAGCACTATCTTCAGAATGCAAACATCCTCTTCTCATGGTTGATTGTTTTTTACAGTGCTTCCCTTTTCTATTTTTTAAACCCAGAAATCATGTCCTGCTGCCCTTCCCCAGCCCAATCCTCTTAGCTAAAACCGAACACTTCCCAAAGGCTACTTACATTGTGTGGAAAACACAGGGGTGAGAGGGTTAAAGATACTTTATAGAGCTATCAAGAGATACTGCCGTCCTTTTCAACATCTTATGCATGAACAGGGCATGGTTCTTGCAAGGCAAAACACCCCATGTGTAACAGTCCAGCAATGCCCTGGACAACTCCCAGTCTATCAAAGGGAGAAACAGGGAAGGTAGATAAATTCGGATTCTTCACAGCATTTCTCAGATACTCTTTTTCTCGCAAAGAAGAAACTTCTACAAAGAACCAACAATGAGATGGGCTATCTACACACGAAATCTGTTGAAATCACTGGGATCCAATGTACAGGGTAGAGATGGGCAGAGTGTCAAAAATAGTTTTGTTCACCACACTATGGGAGGGAAAAACAAAGAAAAAAAAAAACAGAGAATGAATTTATTGTTCCTGCCACTGTGCTGTTTTAGACTGTGCCGTGGACTTCCTCAAGGTGCAGTCAGTGTTAAATCTCTTCTTTGAATCTGCTTTGCCGCCCCTTCCTCCAGGAGGCTTTTGCCTGGTTGTCTTAAAGCAGCATCATGAACGCGGGAAATGAGAGTCCACAAAAATATGACGGGCACCTCGTTGCCGAAAAAGCGCAGTGCAGAGTAAAGGAAGAGAGTCTGAAGAAAGGGGTTTGGGGAGACTGAAGAAAGAACCCTGAAGGCCACCAGGTGGTGCAGACATGTGCAGGGTGTATCACACAGCTGCGGTCTGTTTGATGCTATGGAAGCTGATCCGTGTTGGGGACGTGGGGATGGACATGGCACGTGCCACACGCACTCGGAGCGAGTGATGGTCCTGCCAGCGGTGCCATCTTTTCCTGGCAGCAGAACGGACCTGGTGAAAAAAGAAAAAGGAAAGCACGTGAACGCACGGAACAAACGGGTGTCCTCAGTGAAGGGACACCATACAGCACCGAGAAACATGATGACAGCTGTTGAGCCACTGGAACACAGGGCTTGATTCAGATTACTACATGTGTGCATCCAGTTCAGTCAGTACTCTCCTGAGCACTGCGCTCAGAGGAAAGTGGGTTTCTCAGACCTCACCTCTCATATCTGATGTCTCAAATGTGCCAGAGCATTTCAAATGGCAATACGTATCTAAGCTTAAGACAGTTAAATCAAGCCCTCAGAATGGATGGTCCTGATGGTTGTCTTACAGAGACCTGTCACAGGCAGTTGTCTCTGCTTTCCTTGTATATGATGGAGAATCCCAGACCATCTAAGTGAACACTGGCATCTACGGTGCAGACATACCTGAGCCTGTGGGCTCCCAGTACAGTCAATGGAAGCATCATCCTCCAGCAGATACTTACAACAGGCTAGATGAATCCTAAGTGTGTATTTTTTTGCATAGACCATAGAGGGAGCCCAGGGCCTCTAGCTGGAATACGCATGTATATAAGCAAGAGACAGATAGCAGGAATCCTAAAACACAATGGGTGAAAAGGCTGGAAATGCTCCTAACGCCAAATGTAACTTTTTTTCTGCCAAAACACTGACAGTCAAGACTCAAAGTTAGAGCCTGAAATAAAGTAATTAGACCAATTTCTGGATATTCCTCTTGATCTCTATTACTATAGGATCTCCTATTGAACTTACTGTTGAGTCTCAATTCAGTTCCCTAACCTAAGCAGCCAGGTAAGTCTTCAAAATTACAGTAGGTATTATACCTCAGCTATCAACCCCCAATTCTCTTCCTGACCAAGAGAGAACCACTCAATATGTCAAAAGTCCTGACTCATCTTCTCCTAAAGCAGATCTTCTCCAACCCTGGTGATTCTATGATTCTGTGATTCCTGTTTCTTTTGAAGCTTGTATCCTGTCTTCCGGTGCTGTGTGAAGCCTATTTGAAACATGAGGAACTCACACTCACCAGACCCATCTCAGACCAGCTCCAACGGGCTGTCTGTAATGGATGCTCAAATGAGTGGATGAGCTCCAGTAGAAGGGAATTCCTCACCCAAACCTGACACTGTGAGTATGAAGTGTCTCAGATGAACAGGAATGATGGATGACCCGATGGTTAAAACATACAGTCTATAAGCATGGCACAGGAAGGGAGGAACTGCACTCCATTTCTCAGCTGATTTCAATCCTATCATTTCCTGGTAGGCTTTCAGAGAATTGTACCTAAGTGCTTGTAGCACTTAGGAACACCGACCCCTCATCCCCAGCTTTGCTTGTGTATCACAGAATCATAGAATATCTCCAGTTGGAAGTGACCCATGAGGATGAAATACACCCCATTTTTTGGATGGCAAGTATCAGTCTGGAAAACAGTTTTGCAATTGCACCCTTAGATGTCTTGTCAAGGGAATCCTGAAGCTGGAAATGTGAATTTTCTACCAGAGTCCTTCTAGAAGGTGCAGATTGGGCAAAAAGGACCTGAGGATCTCTTTCTTTGGTTATTTTCTTGGTTCTGTGTGAGCTGTGCTGCTTACTCTGTTCTACCTGGAGTGGCAATGGGGTACTTCTTTCTGCTTCTGGATTTAAGGGTATGTAGTACATACCATAGGGGCCCTAATACATCATGAACATGCCAGGGGGATGCGTATCATCTGAAAGCTTCATACATAGTCCTGGTCTTGGCCAATTATTTATGCCTTCAATGCAATCAATGCAGAAAGAAAGATGTTCCCCCAAAGGAGGTGATTTAGATAGGGGGAATTAAATTAGTTCAACTTGTTCCACTGAGTGCAAAACTATCTCAGCTAGATGTTGGGCACCTAAGGCAAATGCTATTAGTAATATATAAAGTGTCACAGGGTAACTAATGTCTTGAAAGTGTCCTATGAAGAACGTCTGCAGAGCGATGGTGGCTACTGAATGCTCATTTCTCCTCATATAACACTGAGGTTTTGTTAGAAAAGGTTTTTTTCCCATTCTGTAAGTGTGAAATTCACCCCTTTACAGAGAGCCTGGGACCCACTTAACTCCTTCCAGGTGGTCCTCTGGGAGCATTTCATGGGGCCAAGGAAAGGAGGAGCGACTTCATGCGCTTTTGTGTTTCTGAGCAACTTGTGTGAACAGGTACTTACTCAGCCAGTGAAGCCAGATTAGATTTATCATTTGAGCTTCAAACCAATCAAGTCATAAAGAGACACCTGGAGATAAAGATGTGAGTCTAAACAAGCAGTTGTCTGAATGCCGTTTATGACACGGTTTGCTTATGAGCTTTGAGATAGGATAAAGAGTAGTAACAAAAGTGCTGTCTTGTGCAGTTGGAGCCATTCCTAATGGTCTGGGCATATGAAAATACACTCTGCACTTACAAGGCTGAGTGAAAGTTATTTTTTAATGGGAGAATAAGTCACTGCAATTAGGATGTGAACAAAGCAGAAGCAGAAATGGTTAAGCTTGAATTTATCTCTTAACTGAACTCAGACACAAAAAGATTGCTTAACTTCAAGTCAGAAAAGAAGAGAAAGGGCTGTGACTGCTCTAATAACATTTATTTTTAAAAAGGAAAAAAAATCTATTATACAGGGAGAGAAGTAGAGCATAAAAACATAAAGCAAAGTAGCATCTTCAAAGCCAGCAGTTAACTGTGAGAGGAACTACTCCAATTCATTAAGCATTTGTAAAGTCAGTACCAAATCCCAGAGTCAGCACTAGCTCCTCTATGACCCAAAATTAACAGCATTAGCTAGCAGCAGTCAAAAGAAGTACGTAGGTTATCATCAGTGCTTAAAGCCTATCAAGCAGCCTCGTAAATAAAATTATAAGCTTCATCCCTGTGCACCTTTAGTTGCTTGACGTGGCAAAGTTTCTCCGTGCTGTTTAGCAAACAGCTCAGCTCTGTCTGACTCTGTCATTTTTTTCCAAATAGCTGCTCCCTACTACTTTAAACTCTGCATTTTGCCTATTATGAACAATAACAGTTCCCAAATGTGTGTTCAAATCAGATTTACCATCATTCTTCTGCCTACGGAGTGTGGGCACTGTTCTCCTTGGGCTTGTTTTTGGACAGTGAAGAGAAGGAATTTGGGTGATGGGGATACAGATGTCAGAGGGTGGTGATGGCTGGATTGCAAAACTGAGGAGCTTTCAAACCTTGAGATCACATATGAAAACCACTAAAATTCACATCTGGTCTGAAAAAATTGTCAAAAAAATTTCTCAATGAAGAAGCCGTGACAGCATATAATCCCCTTGGGGTATGGAGGGGATGTAGTCAAAACGGTCTGCAAAACTCAAAGGAAACGTGGTAATAAAGCCTGTAGTTTTGCATAAAAAGGTGCAGATAGGTCCCTCAAATAGCCAACATCACACTGCTATTTTATGTACCAAAGTTTCTCTTTCTCCCTCAAAATTACCCATTTTAAGTGGTTTCCAGCTGTATTTTTCTTTTTTCCAAGAATCTTTAGCAGCATTCCTGTACATTCTAGTAACAGGGTCATACTTCTACAGCACCTGCCAGACTAAGACACTGAAGTTAATTTCCAGAGATCACAACAGTGTGATTCCCTTTTAATGTATACAACAGCTCAAGAAGACATCAAAGTTCTGACTAGCTGAAAAGATTTGTTGCACGTTTCGTGCAGGAGGTAAATGCTGCTCCCTTTTTCTGAGCCTGCTAAAAAGCAGAACCAGACACCTGAGGGGAAGGCCATGAACGCTATCAACCCAAGGCACAGCTATGTGCTTTTGTCATGGAGTGCTCTCTGACAGCAGATAAAGGAAAATAAGGTTTGGAAGGATCTTTAGATGAGTTCCTATTCTTCTATGCTTTGGCTCATTCTTCTCTGCTTTGTAGGACATCAGTCTGAGGAGACCTAATGGAGTCACAGGTGGTTTTCTGTCAAGGTGAATTTCTTCCAGAACACAATTGGGTGAGGAGATGGATACAAGGAGGAGACTGTAGTAAACTGTGGCCTTATGGTCCCAAAGGGAAGGCTTTATTCTTTCACTTGACTTTATATTGACCAGTCATCCTCGGGGACATTTAGCAGTAGTGCTCATATATATTAGTAGTACTAATTGCTGGGCCCCTTTGCTGAAAAAGCAATAATTGTGGAAGATGGAATTAAATTTTAGCCCTCAAAGTCCAGCCCTATATTCATATTTATTCAGTGCTTTAAAGGAATGTTTAATGCATGTCTTTGGGTTGGGAATGATTAATGTGAAGGCTGCTTAGATTGATGGGCTAACCATTTAGGTCATGATTCATAGCTGGCTATTATAATGAATAGCCTCCCAAGATGATCAGATCAAAGTAAGCCACTTTGAGCTTAATAGATTTTGAGAGACAGATGGTGCCTGGGTAAAGGGCCAATATATAAAAGAAATAAATAAACATATTTATCCTCGACTTGCATCTAGTTGTGAGAATAATTTACGGTGCCATATAATGAAGTAACTTCTACTCCTCTTTAGGAATAATTGCTTTCTTTCTTAAATGTTAATTTATAGTAGATCCTTGGTTTTGACCTGATAATACTAGAATTTGCTTGAGCTGAGAATTCACTCTTTGCAGGATGATTTCTGACACAGCCCTTGCTAGTTCTGCATCCTACCAGGAATGGCTGGAGATAAAGGACAACCACCTTATTACAGATATAGGATTAATGAATTGTAGAACAATTAAGTTTAGAAGGGACCTCAGAAGGCTTCAGGTTTAACACTATGATCAAAGCAAGACCAGCACAGAATTTATGTCCAGATTAAAAATTTTCTCAAGGCCTTATCCAATCATTTTGAATATATCCAAAGGTAAACGTCACAACATACCTCTTGACCTCTCTTCAAGTGCTTACCCATCCTCAGTAAGATCTTTTCCCACAATGTTTGATCAGGATTTGCCTCATTTCTGTCATTCAGTTTGATAGTGGGGACTTCTGTGTCTATCCATTCATCAAGCACTATCACTTCATAAACGAGGGTCATTTTCACATGTCACCACATCCATTCCTAAGCATCTTGCTATGGTACAGTGTTATTATCTCCTATTATGGTTGTGAGGTTTTCCAAGGATCACAGAACTTTCTCAAGAGTCAACTCCGATGGTCATTGAAAATTACATGGAGCATTCAGCAACTATTAGATATTCTCTGGAGGCAAGGATCCTTCCCCATTAATGATCTTGTTTCCACCACGCTTTTGATGAGGTAAGAGGACTGGAGTAGGGCCTATCGTGAAGTTCTCATTCTTCTGAAGGGTTACCAGAGGCTGACCAGAAATACTTCATTTCATTTTGGGAGGAAGGTGAAGCATCTGAGATCTGATCTCCTGCTTTTCAGACTGCAACCAACAGCAGCTGCAAGACCAAGGCTAACAGATTCCTACAGGCAGATATATTCGGAATACGAAATATAATAATTGAACTCTTTTACCTCTCTTTTCTCTCTCAGGAAAAGATCATTGCTGGAAAGGAGGTCTGGATACCACAGTGGAAAGAAAGCTAGAGGGAAGACCCATTTTCTTTAAAGATATTTTATCAGGAATCAATTAATAAGCTAATAGAAATGCTGCCTGTGAGCAGAAGCTACTAAAAAGCCTGGAGACAAAAGTACAAAGAACCCCCAGATGAGCAGTAAGCCTAGAGATGAACAGTGATTAAATTGCTACAGAGCATCGCTATGGCTTCCCCAGTGCTCCCCTATGCAAAGCCCATGGGCTATGAAGCCCAATTAAACTGTCCTCATTGATTAGTTGTTAGGCCTCCTAAGTGAGCTTCTTCTGGGAATGAAGTTATAACAAATATTTTTCCTGGATTTCATGTAGTGAAAAGCAAGCAACTCTAAGGATCCTCCACATATGTCTAGAACCTTCACCAAGCCTTCTTCCAATTTCAGATCTGGCTGTGACCTCGATAGGTAGTGATGTTTTCTTTCAACATTCACTCCTGAAGATTACTGTCAGAAAAATAAGAGGTGCCCTGTGAGATTCTTCCCAAGCTACACATCCCTCTAAAAAACTTCAGTTAAACACACACTATCAGTTACTGGATGAATTCACTGCAGAGGCTAAAGACACGATGTAGTGAGTTTTATAAATCTGTACGCTCATCTGTACTTACATGAAGATGAAATAACATGAAAGCACAACACTGCTTATACACTATTATATTGTTACAAGCAAAAGGATCTAGATAGAATAAATTTCAACTCAAAAATCCTAAATATTTTTCAGTGAAGTGCAGTAAGAATCGTCCAGTGTTCTGCAAAGGTGTATTCCATTCAGTACAGCTTCATGCCAACAACACCGCCTTATGTAAAGCTGAATTCAGCACTGAGATCATCAGTTTCACAGTTTGTTTTTCTCTTCAGTGATTCCACTGCAGAACTGTCAGACCAAAGCACTGCAAAATCAAGGCCAGGACCTTTTATGGTGAAGTCTTGTATTAAATATGTACCATCTTCAGTTGGACTGCTGGAGATGCCTTCTCCAACTGGAAATTAGAATTATTCAACTAATACATCTTGTGTCATGTCTCTGATCTGGGGCAAATGAGCACACAAGGAGAAACAAATTTCTGCTCTATATCATAAGGACAAGTCGGTTTAAATCTGGGGAGGCTACAAGATGTTACACAGCAAAAACTCCTTCCTGCTTTTTCTTTTGCCAAATGTAACAGGTACAACACTGACACCAAAAAAAAGACAGAAACTTTGGTGTCATCTGTGATCCATATTGTGAGTGCTACTGCTGATGGTTGCTAGCTCTACTATAGACAGTTACTAGCATCAGTGTCAAATATGAAATGGCAGAGATGCAGCTGAGATCACAGCATTATTAAAGCTTTAAATTAATGTATTTTCTATCCTTTTGCTTGTGTCATAATTAAGAGTAGGACAGGCATTGCATGGACTGAATAACCTGTTGAAGACTATTACGTGCATTCAAAGCACCCAAGTCTGCCATAACTGGAGAACTTGAAGTATTTATAAACTTCTGAGATAGCAAATCATCAGCCCATCTATCACACAGACAGGAATACTAGGTTGATTGAAGAGATGATAATTCGTCAGGGCTTCGGTGATATTTATAAAGATTTCGTGCAGTTCTACAAGGAGGAAATTTATGAAAGTTCTGCAATCATAATTCCATACGGATATTTATGCAGATTCACTTCTCCAACAAAAGTCTTCGTAGCATGGCACTCATCATGTTATGCAGTTAACTATTCAATGAGCCAAATCTGCTGTGGATTTTACTTATGGTGCTGGGAGATGGAGTGGCATTCCCTTCATCACCGCTCCTACTGGGGATGACTGTCAGAGGGCAACTGAAGTCAGGAGAATGCAAATGGTATTTTGGTGCTTCTTTTCCAATGCGATGCCACTAGCATGGACTAAGCAATACAGACACTGCATATCTGACTGAGCAATAAGTCAATATGGCATTCACTGCTGAGATATGGAAGTTAACAAGAAGGAGAAGCTCTTTTACTATGCTAACCACCAAGGCCCTCATCTGTGCCTTTGGCTGGCAATTCGAAGGCCTTTCCCTTCGCAAGGAGGTAAGACACAGCATAATGGCAAAGTTTTGCAACGGGATGTGATGTGGCCTTCAGAATGCGATGAGAGAAACATCATCTGTTCTTGGAATGCTTTATGAGTGCGTGGAGATCTGGGGAGGATAGGCACTATCACCAGGGAGAGGTTTTATAACAAAGCACTATAAGATACGATCTTTTTCTGGGCAGAGGCACTGAAAACTCAAAAGTCTCTGAAATGTAACTGAATTTTCTACTTGTTCCTAAGCTTCGCAGATCTGAAGCTAGAACTGAGCGTGTAACTCCACCCTTTCAAATCCTTATGAATTTAAAATCATACCCATAGTACCATAAGATGAGTCCACATTTCTTTTACTCTTTTGAAAGAGAAAATGCTGCAATATTTAGGAACTTAGCCTTAAGTTCTATCTCAAAAAAGCAGATATAATGGTTTAGCCAGTCAACCTGAATTTGCACAAGAGATGTAAACATGGATACAGGGAAGGTTTAGCTCACAACTTCAGCTGTTTGTAGGTGTCTGCACGGGAGCTAAATATCTAGGCAAGCATTAGAGTGAGTAGAGAGCTAGTCCATACTGTCAGTGAAGTCTAGAATTGCTTAAGTGAGCAAATCTATTGTAGACTATGCTGATGAGAAAGAGATTATACTGACCAGTTTGAAGTAGTTGCACAGAAACCCCATTGTATCCCCTTTGGTTTCCCACTGCCCACCCAGAAGATGTGGATTTCTTACAGGTCCTAAATCCCATCTGGTAGGGCCACAGGAATGACTCAAATACTTGACAGCCTCTCAAGTGACACTAGATACCCATTTCTGGGAAAATGAATCAAGACTCACATCACTCTCATTGGGTATCTTAACCTTGAAGTGACTACCAAAGAAGTGAAAAATGTAAATTGCAATGGTAGTGTGATATAACTGGGAAAATCACTGGTACAGAAATCCTTCCAGATCTGCTAGGTTGCTATCAAGGCATAGAGGAGAAACATAAATAATTCATACTGCCTTGTCTGATTATGTCTGAACTTCCTAACGTTGGAAGAGATGGGAAGTGGGCTCATGATCTTAGACAGTGATCTTCCAGATCTTCCAGAGAACTTTAACTGGACAAAGAAGATGTGTTAATGCAGATAAATCAGATGCAGGCATTGCAACCACAGAAAAAAATGTAATTTTCTGAGACTTTAGGGTGTAAGTCGAACATTAATAGGTATTAGTGAAACATTCCTTACATGAATATTAGTCCCCAAAACTAATCCAAAGTAGCACAGTGACCTTGTTCCCAACCCTTCTACAACAGGGATTGTTCATTCAGAGAGAACCTCACAGAAAAGCTCACTCACCTCAGGATGGCATCCCTTTATAAAAAATGGGTCACCCTTAGCATAGTCCTTAACAAGAGCCCAGATGAGAAGTAAGGCTTATTTATGCCCAGAAATCGTATTTGGAATTACTGAGAAAATGGAAAGAAGTCTTAAAATGAGGAAAAAAATATATAATCTGGGAATATTTCTTCTCCTCTGCCCTTGCCTCCCAGTTGGAGCAGAATGGGTTAAAGCTTTCTGAACAAAGGACACTGACTAAGAGAGCTGGGAAATTCAGATGCACGTTAACAGAAACTTCTCCAAGAACAGACTGATGGGGCTGCAGCCCCATGTGAAAACATCCCGTGTTGCACAAGCAAGCACTGAAGTAGGTTCCACCTCCTGAGAACTAATGGCACTGACAGCAGAGGACACTACTTACCTCACCGTTCAAGAAGCAGTAAAATACTGACACAAAGAAACCCTGGAAAGAACAGAAAACAGTCAATTATTCGGTATTTGAACACGCAGAACTGGGGGCTGTGTTTTATCCTGGCATCATCCTGAGCATAAACACAACCTTGCTGATGTCTTAATGATCCTCTTACAGCCAGACAAAATCTTTGCCCTACAATTTCATGAGATTCCAGGTGTCTTGCAGCAAGCTCTTAAAACACGAGAGCTACAACCCAGACACTGGTAGAGCAAATTATCCATCCAGTTGTGTTAAAGCCTCTCTCCAGCTTCCAGCTGTCTCCCCCAAAATGGCAGAGTGGCAGAGCCCTTCACAGGTCCTGGGTCATGCCTGCCAACTCAGTGCAGATGTCTTACATACCACACTGGGTGTCAAATGGCCTCAGATGCTCTTGTGGGGGCAAGTGCATCACTGGATTGCTTACATTCAAGTGAGCTGCAGTGCTCTGAGGAATCAATTGACTGCACCTCTCTAATGACTGCAAAGATTGTAATGACTGTAATATAGAATTAGGTGACAACATGATGACATTTTCATTTTTAAACCCATGAGCAGAGTCCCATTTATTCTGTTTTCAGCAATGGTCTGCAATTATTGCCACCATAAAGGAGATATTCACCATGCATCCTTTCTTATGTATGCCTTTGTAATGCTAACAATAAGACAAGCAGTGTAGCAGTTTTTGAGTAATAGAGTTAATTTTAGGGAATGAAAAACGTGAGTTGATTCACTGTAAAGGTCTGAAGTCCTTTTGTTTGTTGATTAAAACTGTCACTTTCCTTTTTGACTTTCAATTTTTGGTAGGATGCTCTGTGCTTCAAAGCTAAACATGCAGTCAGTAAATACAGTAATCCAAATCTTCTGGTTTCCAGAGCCTTAGATTTGGCTTGACAGCCTGTGTACTGTACATTTGAATTGATATTCTGGGCATCAGAGTGTTTGCTCCTGTAGATATCATAAGTAAAATATTAATAACAGCAATAATTCCACTCCTGCTGAAGAGAATCTTCAAGCAGAAACAAGGTTATAGAACACACCTAAGCAGAGGTAAATGGCTGAACATAACTTAATGATCTCAGCCACCTTGCCTTTTTCATGGTATTTTTTTTACCAGATTCAGAAAGCTGGGACAATTACCTTCCACTGTGTTTTACATGCTGGCAGAAATCCTCTAAAATTCAGTGGAAGGAGGAAATAGAGTACAGCTACTCATAGAGCTGGTTAGTCTGGTGCTGCAGGAGAGCTGGAGTGGGAGCTGGGTAATATGGAAGACATCGTTAATGTCTTAATCAAGTATCCCCAGCAGGCAGGAGCTGTTTTCCTTTGTTTTGGAAACATCTAGTTTAAATCTCAGCTCAATCTGTGAAGAGAGAGAGGCAGTTTGGAAGCATGACTCATCATCCTCTCTGAGGCAGTTCGTGATGGGATGAAACATTATCTCTGTGCTGATTTTAGATGGGGCTGTAGCTATAGAGTGAACACAGTGCTGATAAGGGAGGTGAATGAATCCCTCTGGAACACACCTGGGAGATCTCCACTCCATGAGGTATGCTGTATACATCTATTAAGTAAGCATAAATAACAAAGCTGAGTTCTTTTCAACTGTAATCGTTTGCCATGTAGTTAATTGCTGTAAGATTCGTGGTTGAAAAGCACTAAGGATCCTTTTAGCAGTAGCCAATACCCAAATATAAAATTGTCCTCCTACCTGAAAAGACTGCAGAAATGAATTGAAGTAGATGAAGACAATTTGGGAAATGTCATCTTCACCAGGGTTGACGAAGAAAAGCATGTATGTGATGCCTAGCAGAGGCAGAAGAACTAAAGTTGCTTTGACTGCCTTCCTGTTGGGAGAAAATAACCACCAGTGAACACAGGAGAGAACCATGCTTGTTACCTGACATTATACCACTCTGTAACGACACAGACCAAAAAAATCCAGTCCTTAAATGGGGAGAGGGCACAAGACACAGAGCAGTTCAGAGGGAAGTACCTACATTAGCTGGAGGGGGAACTTAGGTGCCTGCTTAAGTTATCAGCACCTCTACCTGTTGAACATGGGGTAGCTGAGAAGAAACAGAAGGATGTCCTAAGACACGGCTACTCAGATCTGTCCAATATGTACAGTCACAAGAGAAAAGAACCATTTTCAGATAGGCATTCACATGTAAAATTCTGCCCAGTGTTTAACACAGGTGTTCGGAGTTGGGGCACACAAGTACTCCCAGTAGGAAGCTCCATTTTCCACCAGAAAGAGCTGTGATGCAGTGGCCACAGGCTGCCCAGGGAGGTGGTGGAGTCACCATCCCTGGAGGTGTCGTAGAGCCATGGAGATGTGGTACTGAGGGATGTGGGCAGTGGGCACGGTGGGATGGGCTGCTATTGGACTTGGTGCTCTTAGTGGTCTTTTCCAACTTTCAGGATTCTGTGGCTCTCAGAGCATGCTGCTAGGGCATTTTCTAAGGGCAGCAGCAGAGGTCTCTATTTGCATAATGGCCAAAGAACTTGAGCATTTGCCCAGGAGGACAGCCAAGCTTTGGACACTTCTTGGCCTCCATCTACAGGAACAGGCCTGAGGTTCAAGACCTTATTGTGGGATGCAAGGTGAAGGCTCCTGGAGCCCTCAGGCAAAGGGCAACACAAGTTCAGCACAAAGGACTGGATTGAGTTTAGCAGGGAGAAGGGAAAAACCATCAGCCTTCACTTTGAAACCAGGAGTGAGCATGTGAATTGTTTCTGACCAGTGCTGGATGACCTGAAGAAGTGTTCTGGGAAAGCCTTTGTCTTTCAATCCTCTTCATCCCCTGAACAAACTGAAATCTTTTTTACACCCTTCTTTCTACTTCCTCCAGGCAGTTTCTGTCCTATCTCCATGACAATTAGGCTGAAGCCAAGTGAGTGAGCCCTTATACCTCAGGAGGATAACTGATAAATCCTGCACCTGGCCAGGACTGCCAAGCAAGACCTGCCTTATGCCCACCTTTTGATTCTGTCTGGAGTGTAAATGCTCCCTCTGCAGCATCTGTACCCTCAACACAGTGGTTTAGGGCCATCTTACAATAACAAATGTATGGTGCACATTGAAGCATAAGTTATTATTAATAGAATTATCAGAGGCTAATCTTTCTTTTTGGGGCTATAACAGTGCCTTGGGATGCTACGAGCAGAACAACCTCATTCTGTAGAATACTTTGCAAGCACAGACAACACATTTTGCTAAGTCTCTGCAGATCTCTTACAGATAGTAAGACTGTAAGAGATGGATAAAGACAGGTAGGCAAGCAGGGGAGCACAAAAACACTACCAATATCATGAGACAGCAGTGGTCTTAACAAACTACCTGCCACACTGCCACACTACTTATTACTTGCTTAACAAATGTTAAGCAAGGCTTGCTCCAGGTTCCAGGAATCCAAAAGGTTCCTATTTCGGCTGTGAAATAGAAGATTCACCAACAGAGCTTGTAGTGGGGATATCATCTGTTCAAGGACAAAGGCAGTTACTTTAGATTGCCTCCAAATCTAATATCTCTAATCCCTGCCAACTGCAGCAGGGAGTACAATATAATGAGATTTGAATTGGTGCTGGGTAGGGCTTTTTTTTTGGTGTACTTTTTTTTTTAAACGCTAACTTCAGGTTCATGGCATCAGCTTTGAGCACGAAAAAAGGATTTTTTTTTCCCCCTTTCATTTCACAGAATCACAGAATCACCTGGGTTGGAAGGGACCCCAAGGATCATGTAGTTCCAACCCCCCTGCCTAGCAGGGCCACCAAACATACACATTCAGATCAGGTTGCCCAGGACCCCGTCCAACCTGGCCTTAAACACGTCCAAGGACGGGGCATCCACAACCTCCCGTTCCAGGGCCTAACCACTCTCCTAGTAAAGAACTTCCCCCTAACATCCAACCTAAATCTTCCCTCCTTCAACTTAAAACCATTTCCCCTAGTCCTGCTGTTATCAGCCCTTTTGAAGAGTTTACTCCCCTCCTGGGTGTAGGTTCCCTTCAGGTATTGATAGGCTGCAATGAGGTCACCCCGCAGCCTTCTCTTCTCCATGCTGAACAAGCCCAACTCCCTCAGCCTGTCCTCGTAGGGGAGGTGCTCCAGCCCCCTGATCATCTTTTTCTCGTGAAATGCACAAAGAAGAATGTGAGCAAAGGAATCAGAGCACTGCATTAATTTCACATTTGTCCCCAGGCCCCAGACAGGAGTGAAAGAAAGCAACCAGGTAGAAAAACAAAATTCCATTACTGCAGAACTGCCTCTGAAGTCCAGAGCAGGCTGATTTGAGGACATCAGAATTCAAGCCTCAGTTTGATGCACTGAGATTTTGTCTAGAAATGATGTTATGGACAATATTACCCCACAAAAACGGTGCTATTTCTCAGAGTGATAACCTGTCTGTCCATAAATGATCCAAAACACTGGCCCATTTGGCAAGGCACTACAAATGGCAATAGAGGAAAGGCACTCAGCGTCTCCTTATTTCTAAGAATTTTCTTTTGGGACTGCTGGGGTCTGATCTAAGTTCACAGCACTGCCAGAGGGGCCAGGCTGCCTTCCTTCTGCTGTGTTGGGCTACACATCCCCATCCTTCTCTTTCTGACACACTGTTTGGGAGGTGGCATGGTCAGCCAGCCCCAGGAACTGCTCTGCCTAAGAAGGAATCCCATAAACTGGTAGTTGATGGTTGGTGCCCTGATGCAGCCCACTGAGTGGTTACACTAATGCTGGTGCCAGCTGAAAGAAAGAGCACTAACAGCCTTCTGTCCCACACTCAGCACTAAAAAATATAATTAAACTCTACTGCATGTGCACAGTAATCAGCAGTAATACTGCTATTGATTACAGATATGATATGAATGCTTCGCAGGCTCTGTTAGAATCTTATTATGAATGTAGATCTTAATATGCACACACATGTAATTTACTGGGAAGTCTTGATACTGCATTGTTCTGCATCTACAAAGCTGGAGCCTGGGATAGAAATCTAGAAGGGACTGAACACTTTTCCACTGATCCACCACATTAACTAAATAAATGGTCTAACCCTCACTGTCATGACGTATTTCTATAATAAATATACTTGTGGGGTGAGAAGGACACCCTCTGAGATCACAGTGGCATCTGCAAAGACAAACATGGGACGAGGACAGGATGGGCAAGGCAGTTCTTTGCTACCACACAAGGAGCAAGAAGCACCAGCTGACTTACCTGTACTGTATTGTTTCTGAAGTGGTTGAAGCTCTCAGCTTTGTCATTAAAATTCTAACTATGTTAAACAGAAATACAAAATTGATCTGGAAAAGAAGGAAGAGAGAGGAAAAAGTAAGATCAGTGAGTCAAACAGAGTCTTAAAGGATAAGATACACCTTAAAAGGCACACTTTGCAGTTCCAATCTGATCAAACCCAGCCACCTGGCTTTATCACCGACTGCAGCAGTTACCAGAAATACCAGATAATGCAGCAAATACCCAACAGTTATTAATCCCTTCAAAAGAGGAATGAACAAAATGGATGGTCCCAGCAAGCAGCTTTATTTCCACACCCCTTTACTCCTTCCGTGGGGCCGCGAGGAGGTGATGGTGGGCTTTGTTTGGCTCTTTGCACTGACTCTGGCTCAGCTCACCCAGGCTCCCTGCATGGTGTATTTGGCAGTTCTGTGGTGTGCTGACATGGCAGGCTGTAATGGCTGGGTAGGACACCCCACACCCAAAGTACAAGACTGCAGTGCAGAAATCCAAATATAAGCTAGTCACACCAGACTCCCATTAGATTCAATGGAGTCTACTCATTGCACTCTACAAGAGACATTTAAAACAGAGCAGATGAATCCCACTTACAAATATGTGGTGGGTTTTTTTTTTTTGCACTGTCTCTAAAGGTGAGACGATGGATTTATCATTTCCCTTTTTAATCTGCTGAGGCGGGTGATGATTATTTCCATTACAACATCACTGCTGAGAATTGAGATTTGCTCTAATTGCTGTTTTTGCATCTGCTAGCGAGTTTCTTACACAAGTTTCCTCCCAGTGTAAACAGGAAAGAGAAAAAAAAAAAATCTGAAAAGAAGATTCTGAATTGTAGACTGTGATATGCAGAAGAATTTGGCACCTAGAAACAAGTTGTGTGTTGCTTCCAGCACAAAGTAGGAAAGCCTGCAACATCCTGATTTGTCTCAAATTTGTTGGCGATGCACTGTGACAGGGCTGCAGGACAATTATCTCTGGATTGCTGAGGTCACAACCTAAGCTTGTGAGAAAAGATGTTTATCAACATATTTCTCTCTCATTTCCTGAGTCTTGGCATTCTGTAGTCTGTGAACAGAGCGATTCGACTGACTTCCAACTATTTATGGGCACTGCAGCAGAGGTGCTAATATAAAGGTGTTCTCAAAATATGCTCTTTATTTTCCCCAATGAAATGTGATATATTTCCATGATTACAATATCTTGGTATCCATCAAAGCATTCCCTGTGGTTTACAGTAGTATTATTTATAACAAATGGTGCAGTAAGCACTCAATGGGAGACTGGCAGTGTTGGGAATTTTGTACGTTAAATGCTTGTTAAGTGAGAGACCAAAACGTTGCTCTAAGACCACAATATTGCTCTAAGAGCCATGTGACATTTTAAGAAATGTTTTTCTTAGCAGAGCAGGGCCATAGGGAGTCCAAGAAATAAATAAAACAGTGCAGTTTGTGTACGTGTTCTTACTAGAGTTGTCTTTGTTGCATTTCAGAAATTGAAGTCGACTGTTTCTCACTTCAGTCATCAGAGACAGATGCCTCAAATCACTGGTTTGATGTGGATCTTAAACTCTTCACATTTGTGACTGCATCATCCTTCAGTAACAGAAACATTTGGACTCTACTGAGGGGCAGGAGATGGGGGTCTTCACCCACAGAAAGAAAACCTTTGCCTCTGAAATTAAACTACCAAGTATTGTGGTTCTTCATCAGCTCAGAGTCAGGTTTGGGTCACTTCTATCAAGTCATTGATCAAAAACTTGCCACTTTTGCAGTCATAATGGAAGGTGGCGGATGGAATTATAGGCTCTTGGCAAGGGTAAGTTTCAAATATGAAGACCAATCACATGGGATTAACATGATGAAATGGACTAGAGAAAGCATTTCAAGTTACAAGAGTTCTAGTTTGACGTGATATCAGGGAACAGAAATTAAATTGCCATAGGCTGCCTCAGAAAGATTAGGATTTTTGATCTTCTTTGAAATTAAATTGTGTTGTGTGATTCGTCAGTCCAGAAGGAGAACTGTGAGCAGAAAATTTTGAGGGTTAATTTCACCAGGGATAATCATGCTATATAAATCAATTTTTCATTCCCTCACTCTTTTCCCTAAGCTTCCCCATTTGAGGGCTGTTGAAAGAAACCAGTGCTGACATTCAGAAAAGATGTATTAATACTTCTCACCTAGACTTTCATGTGTGCTTGCCCTGATGCCTGGCGTCAGCTGGCTTGCTTATCTGGCTGGCAGCATTAATGCTGACTGCCAATGGAGGCCACGTCAGGTACAGAACTCAGCCACCAGGCATAAATGATGGCACTGTCCAACGTAGGTGCTTAGGTGTGGGCTACAGGTGGCACAAACACACGTTGACAGCAACAGGAATGCAGATACATCAGTGCTCAGTGTAAAAGGTTGCCCAGGTGTCAGAGGAAGGTCTGCTAGGGCCTTTTTAACATTTACTGGCAGAGAGGAACAGTGAGGCCTGAACAGGTTTTGGGAAGAAATAGTGTTTGGGCTTGAAAGAGTCACCCACACAAAGTCATCCATCCAAATTGATATTTCACATCATTTAGGGGCATCCCACCTGAGTCTGGCTGGATTGAACGTGGCTGTACCTCCTGAGGGTCTGTGACACTATGCTATATGAAAGCCTCTAAAATGTTCAGCGGTGCCAACACCAAGGCTTCCTTTTTGCCTCCACTTGGATTTCATTGGGAGGTCTTTAAGAGCTGGAACAGGACAACATCAGAGTTCAGCAAGCATAAAACTGCAGGACAAAAGATGCAAGTGGGTAACACTGAAATACTTTTTTTTCAGGTTTTGCCTACCAGAAGCACACTCGATTGTGTTCCATTTTAACAACTGCTATTAAAAGACCATTACAGCAGGACATGTGGCTCATTTGCACCTATTAGTAGCACTCAGAGGTCCAATGTGAAGATAGATTTTCAACACGTAATCAGATGGATTTTACGATCCATTTGTCTGCGGTGGATCTCATACCACAGCTCACAGGGATGAAGTTAATTCGTAGTTTGAGTTCATTCTGGAGAGAAGACAATCTGAGAACCAAACAGGGAACAGAGTGCTGCACGTAGCTCAGAGTGGAAATCTTTGAAAGGAAAATGGAGCTGTTTTCTCAGCTGGAGCAGAACCACACTTTCTAGAGACTACCTGAATGAGTCTGATTTAGAAGCATGGAACATCAAGTCTCTGGTGTTTATTCCGTGTACATTTATGTATATACACAGTAGCATCTCAAAGCAGAAAAGAGCTTACCACTGCAAAGTGAGTTTTCCTAGAGAAAAGCCTCTGTACTGCATCCAACTAAGTACACAATTATCTGTTAAGGACTTTTTTTTGTTATTACTGCATTTCTGTATTAACACATGAATTTCTCTCCGAACTGGGCAGCTCTAGCAAAGCGCACACATCAATTCTGTTAATGGAGGCTGATGAATGGATATTTAAGAGAAGCAGTGATGACAGCCAGAGCATCCTTTTTATTCATCTTTAATCTGATTTGATATTCTTATTCAGTTCTGCTTATATAACACATTTTCTGCTTCATAATGGAAAACAGAATTAAGGATTTTTCCCTTGATATGCACTGGCAGATAAAATCAATCCAAAGGCAAGATCCGGAATATAGCATAAAAGAACTTATTTCTTATTCTCTCACTGTTATTTGTGGTGTGCTAAGAATATCCTTATTGCTGGAATAAGACCCTCTCCAGTTACAGCTGGGAAAGAAGTAGCTTTCATTACTTGCCAGGACTTTGGAGGTTTCTTGTTTCCTTTCCCGAACTGGGATGAAAATCCCGAGCTCAAGAATAGTTTTATAAGTCAGTGATCCAGAAAGCACTTGGATCACCTGTTTTGGCAGAGATCGATTTTAATCTGAATTTTTAAACCTGGAAGGCCTTTTGAACCAACATAAACTTTACAGCGAGAGATTTTGGTTATTAAAAACGTACAAAAAAACTGAATTTCCTTCCACTCAAATTCCATTTGAGTGGAAATTCAGCTCCTTCAGAGAGATGAAATAGCCAAAGTATTCCAAGCAGCATAAAAGAGTACAAAGGCTTCTTTGCAGTTTTCATTAAAATCAAGAACTTAAATGCAAAGTCGTTATGCTCTTCTTCCCTTTTGAGAGCTTAATGGGCAGCTAGCGTTTATTTTCCTCATTTCTGTTGGGCTTCTTATGTTATGCTTTGCAGAAAGCTTGTATTTCTACGCTTCCCAGAATGCTTGCTCCTCCTCCTCACTCCCAGGGAACGTAAATAATAATCTACTTAGCCTTTGCGTTTTTGTGCAATGTGGTAAAATCCCCTCCAGGATTAAGTAACCCAAATTGGCAGCAAAGCAGTCATCTTAGCTGTCATCCTGACCTCAAAGGAAAACTCTGCCAGTTCATGCCTCTTTTTAATTGTTCTGTCACACTGTCCTGACATGATTTTCAGAGAGGCTTCTTATTACTGGAGTTCCCCTACTGGAGGTCGTGGTCACTATAATGTCTTCTTTTGGCACGCAGCAAAGTGATAGAAAATGGATTCTGATCAGAGATGTGACTAAGAGGAGCAAGACATGATACAGTGGATAGTTAGGAACAGGGAGTCAATGGATGAGTCTCCCTATTATAGCAGTGAAAGACCAATGCTTTGGGCATGCACAACAGGACTGCATGCATCTTGAAGATAGAATGGGATAGAATGGAGTTTTGGTGGGGAAAAGAGAAGGTGGTCGATGAATGGCTAGTTCCCTACCTAATGTCTCGTGTTACACATGAGCACACAGAGCCCTGTCTTCATCCATGCTTTGACCTAACATCAAATCCAACTCCAGCTGCAGTCAGAATGACACCAGCTACTGCTAGAGCCCTGCATCACACATGAGATGCCCAGTGCCTTTTTACCAATCTTATAGCCCCCATCTGTGATCCTCACCCTACTCTTCCAGGACACCTGCCTGCCCTGAAATATGTCATATTCAAAATGTTTTGTTAAAGAAAAACACTGTAGGACTCTTACAAGTCAAGACACCCACCATGA